TTCCCTGGGCTCTGTGGGGTGGATGCACTCGGCAGCCTGGGGTGGAAGGAGAGGAGAGGCTGAGGGGACCTGCAGGGAGCTGAGACCTCCTGGGCCCCAGCCCAGCCAGCCACAACAGCCCTTGTGGGGTTGGCACTGGCTCTCAGCATTGTCCTGGTGCCAAGGGGCACCATCGGGCAGGGCTGAACACACATCCGGGAGAGGAGGCTGCACAAAGGACAGAGGGAGGGGAGGGGAAAAGATAAGGAATGGAAAGAGAGGGGAGCAGCAAAGATTAAAGAGGGAAAAACAACCCCAACAAATTAAGCAGAAAGGAAAGAGAAAGACAAGTTTAAAGGCACTTGAACTATTAAATAAATAAGTCATTGAGAGCTCACAGCTCAAAGGCAGCTGAAGTGTTTGCAGGGGACAGGAGCCTGTTCAGGGCTCAGAAGAGGCACTGAGGGCTCGGAGCAGAGTTTGTGCTTTGGGGGCCCTTTTGCAAAAACACACAGGGTGGAAAGTAGCCTGTGACAGTTCACAGCATCTGTTCTGCTCGGGTTTTCTGTTTGTGGCTCCCCACAAGCTTGTTTTGCTCACAGGAAACCCTGCTCTGGTTCCTCCTCCTGTGTTGCAGGAGCACGACCTGGTTCCCTGCACCCCAAACCAACAGGGGCAGCAGCTTTTGGTCCTCTGGGGTCTTGTGTAAGTTATTACCAGCACCAAATGGACCAACAGAAGCTCATCAGGAACGTGTCCTGATCAAACAGCAATATTTCACTGCAAAAGTGAGCTCTGAAAGTTGCAAAGGTTTGATTGTGGGTAAACAGATGTGAAAAAAGCACAAAGCAGTTCCCTCAGAGGGGATTTGCAGGAGGAAACTCAAGGAGTGCTCAGATAGCCTTTCCAGAGGAGTGGGAGGGTTAAATTGATAGGAGAAACAAACACAGGATGAGCCAGAAGGGGGGGTGCTTCCTCATCCGGGGGGGTTTCTAAAGTGCAACAGGATAAAGGGCAGACCTTGCCCAAGCTCTGAGCTGGATCTGAGCCCAAAAGTGGGGGAGGGATCGTTAGATATGAAGGCTTGTTATTTTATAAACGAAACTATGAGGTGCCTGGACCTGCTTGATATGGCAGAAGCCCCAGTGCACAAGTTCAGACCCCTCATTTCAAGATAAAATTTCAGTCCTACTTTAATTTCTGCCTCACAGTGTCGACTGTACAAATTCAACAAATTCCCTTAAAAAGACCCACGAAGGTTCACCTTGTAAGACCCCCCCTGGTGCAGCCTGAGCTCCTGCTCAGGTTTAATCCCTCCCAAGCCCAATTCTGAGTCAGAAACCAGTGGGCTGGTGAAGCTTTTGGTATTTGCAAAACTGAAGTATCAATCTGAAACTAAAAGAGACGCAGTGCAGTTACTGATTCAGCCAGTCCCACTGTCATTTTTGCTCCTTTATGTGACTGTACAACTTCAACAAATTCCCTTAAAA